TGGAATACTACTTTTGTCAGACTGTTATTTTGGTTGTGTTATGCCCTAATATGAGAGAGCTTTGACAGTTGCAAGATACTCACTACAGGTTGTGTCAAATTCAGAGCTACATAGTACATATAACCTAATTAGAAAAGGTCAGAGACAAAATGTGAACTGGGAAAGAGACAACTACTGCCTAAGATGAAATCCTATGGCAAGCAATTTGTGTATTGGGATTGGAAAAGCAAAAAGAATAGTTCTGACTCTTATTACCATTTTAAAAGTGAACTTACATTTCAAGATACGATTTTGTTTAAAAAGACAAGGATGATGATTCCAAAGGTGTTACAAAGGATACATTAAAAGCACATGTTGCTTTCCTAATGTGTTACAAAGGCCATAAAGAATATATAAAAGGTTATTACTTACCTTCCCCTGGGTTCCATATGTATGTTGAATAGTAGGAATGACAGACCAGCTCCTTACTGTACCCTCTCCAGGAAGAGAAGCAATTGTCCACAATCAACTGCTGATAGTTCTCCAAGGAAATTAAGTCACAATGGTATGATTCCATCAACTCATAGCAGGGTCTAGCCAGCAATTGATAGATTTAATAATACCAGCCTGGACACATAGTCTTCATCTGTTGCCAGAATATCATCAACCAAGGTAACGAAGCCAGTTCTATACCAGATTGGTGAGAATCAAGTTGATCATAAGCTTCTAAATACTGAAAGCATTGGTGTCAGCCCACCCTTGTTCACAACACTAGCCAAGGTTTTAAGAAGTGACACTGGTCAGTAATTAACAAGATTATCGCAGCATCCAGCAATGACCTTCAACAAAGTTCTTGCTATTGTTTCCTTCAAAACAACTGGCAGTCTGCACAAAATGGGACAGATTGTCAACGTCTAAGTAAGGACCCATTGTTCTTACTGCCCCATCCTTCACTAATGGATGAGGAAGGACAAAAATCCAAATACAGACCATGGAAGAAAGCTTGTCCAACAACTCAAGGAGTGTCAGTGGCTGAAATTCTAGTATAGATACAAGGCCCTTGTTCCCTCAAGATCTTGCTGTGCCACCACACAAGGAGACCATTTTATTGTCCATAAAATTGCGAGAATTTCAACACAGCTGAGATTCAGACCTGCAACTGAGCAGAGACACTATAGATTTACCAAACCATTACATAAAGCAAATATGTTGCCTGGGATTCTGTGGATCCCGTAGCATGGAATAACTATTTCTTTGTTTGTAGCACAGCCAGACCATAAGAGTTTTTAAAAACTCCTTATTCTGCAATAGGTAAGTCTCATTACAAGACTTCCATTACTGGAGATTCCTTCAATTCATTTGTCACAAGTCAGAGTGAGGTAAGTCACAAGAGAAGGCTGAGAGGGGATCTGGTGGCCATCTATAAACTGGCCAAGGGAAACCAGCAGGCAGTGGGAGAGTCCCTGTTCCCCCGAGCACTACTGGGAGTAACAAGGAATAACGGCCATAAGTTGACTGAGAGTAGGTTCAGGCTAGATATCAGGAGGCACTACTTCACAGTCAGGGTGGCTAGGATCTGGAACCAACTTCCAAGGGAAGTGGTGCTCACTCCTACCCTGGGGGTCTTTAAAAGGAGGCTAAATAGACACCTAGCCAGGGCCGTTTGACCCCAGCATTCATTCCTGCCCATGGCAAGGGGCCGGACTTGATGACCTGCTCAGGTCCCTTCCAACCCTATCAACTATGAAACTATGAAGTAAAGATGGCACCTGGATCCCTTAATCTTCAAGGGCAGATTATCAAATTAAGTCCTAGGCCCAGTAGGACAGATGAACCCTAGTTTCAAAGTACTGGCGGTAATGTTCAATCCATGACACAAATTTAAGATTCCATTGTTTTATTGGAAAGCCCAATCTCAAATTCAGATCTAAAGTGTGACCAACTAGTATGACTGACAGTTACTATCTGATACAGGCTTATGGTCATCAGAGTGACCAGTATGTCACAGGGTGGGGTCCCCAGGAATGGCCGTGATGCCCCTAGGGCTCTGTGACCATGCCAATCTTGCCCAACAGGCACCCTTTTCCTCCCCTGCCACAGCATGTTGGTAATTATAATAAATAGGGAGGCTGCCCTCAAGTTTGTGTTTGGACATGGTCCTGATGGATCCCACTGAACCCTGTGGGTTTTTGGACCCATTTTGGGTCCTGCTCAAAATGGTTGCCTCACGGGGCACCCTCAGCCTTATGGGCTAGATGCGTGGCTCCAAAACCACCCCTTTAGAGTTTCATAGTTGGTAGGGTCGGAAAGGACCTGACCAGATCATCAAGTCCAACCCCCTGCCATGGGCAGGAATGAATGCTGGGGTCAAACGGCCCTGGCTAGGTGTCTATTTAGCCTCCTTTTAAAGACCCCCAGGGTAGGAGTGAGCACCACTTCCCTTGGAAGTTGGTTCCAGATCCTAGCTGCTCTGACTGTGAAGTAACGCCTCCTGATGTCTAGCCTGAACCTACTCTCGATCAAGTTGTGGCCATTGTTCCTAGTTACTTTTACTACACCCCAAGCCTCACAGATGGTATTTAAACATTGTCTCTCTGAGGCCTTGCTATAGCTTGGCCTCCTGTCACCACTGGCCTCTCCGCAGCCCTGTCTCTGCGTCCCACACTGGTGCTGGGGTCTGCTCACCCCCTGTCTCTGCACCCTCTCTGGCGCTGGGGTCTCCACACTGTAGTGTGCCCCAATGAGGCCTCCTCCTCCCCCAAAAGCCTCATCCTGGTCCACCGGTTTATAAGCAGCAGCCAAAATATGAGCCCCTGGCTTATAACATAATACAAGGAGTTCAGGGTGTGCTCTGTCCCTTTAAAAGAATGAAACTTTGCCCCAGCACTAAGTGCCTTGTAGGCCAGGGTACCTGGTGAGCTCCTGGAGCCCTGTTAGCCCTATATACAGCATATCAGGCAGCTACAGCACCTCTAAGCAATTCTTCCCTGGAGGCTCCTTCCCCTGACTGCTGCCACAGAACTACCTCTCTGGTCCCAGCCCCGGGGTTTATATGTGCGCAGGGCCCTGCCTTCTTCCGGTCAGCTGACGGAGTGCAGGTGCATGCTACTTCCCTCATTAGCCGGCTGCCACAGCATCCTGCACCTGTGGGGATCTGCCTAGCTGCTAGGGCCTTCTCTCGTGGCAGTTTTTGCCCTTAAAGGAGCAGGCACTTTAGTGCCCTGCGACACAGTAAATCCTGAGAAAATTCATCAGCTCACCAACAACTGTTAATCTCTGCACTTCCACCACAGGGAGTAACTCAGCAGTGCAGCAATACAGAAACAGTAGGTTTTGGTAAACTAAAAAGCAGTCCTATCTTGGGTCAGGACTCTCATGCTAAGAAGCCCCCAAGACTTTTATGCTAACTGGATACTCTATTAAAGCGGTTCTTGTGAAGGACCACCCATGAGGATACCAATTAGTTAATTAATCCAGGGGGTTGTTAATCCTCTATGAACCATAGGTAGTCAGGTTCAGGGCATTAAAGTAAGCTAATTTGCCTGAGCATTGATGTACTGCCTGAGCCCACTTAGAGTTAGGAAGAGTAGCTACATATTACAACACAGGTAGGTTGAGCAATATAAGCTACATTACACAACAAAACCCACGCAATGATTACCAGATGCAATAGTCCCATAAAACCCAAGCCACAACACAATAAAATATACCTGACAGGACAATAAACCAAGACACATCCCAAACCCAGTGTCCCATGTCACACAACTAATCAACTACACATTACAATGAGCTTTGGTCACTGCACAGTTAACTGCTGTGCAACTTCACAGACAACCCAGAAACCACAGATGGCAGCAAGAGCACCCTGGGTCAAGTCAGCAGGAGAAACCCTCTCACAGTCCCTGAGGATTTCTAGTTTTTCCCTACTTAGGTACTCAGCACCTCAGATAGGGAAAGGGTGATACCTTATCCAACTGTAGCTTCCCAACGGCCAGGTCACAGCAAGGAACCAGCACTCGACGAACTCCTGCACCCCAAGAGCCGAGAGTCTGGATTATCCAGCCAGAGTGAGAGCGAGCCTGAGCCCCTGCTGGCTGCTCCGGACAGGATTTATAGACCTCTAAATAATGCCACCTGTCACACACCCAATGGTCCAATCATCACCCTTTTCACAATACCCAATCAAATTCAAACCTGTGCAATACTTAAAAGGACCAATCAATTCAAACTATTTAAACTCAATACAAGCAACATTATCATAACTGCCTTATTCATTAACATATCAACATTAATAAAGAGTTGCATTACCATTATACACTGTGCATGCCCATACCTTAAAAGTAGGTCATGACTTCATCAAGGCTGAGAGTTCAAATCCTCTAGAAACTTCTCACTTCTAGTCATATGGTGCATGCATGGACTTTCATTGTTCTACACTTGAAGAGGAAG